CTCATTAGTAATTCACCTTACTGTCTGCTGTACAGTTCTTGTGATGTTAGTTTAAAGAATTTGGTATTTGATCAACTTGTAATTCCCTAATTGATATTTTTCTTTATTCTCATTACTTGTCTGCTTTATATTGTACTCATATTGTAAGGAGAAGTTCTATCTTGGTCACTCATGGGAGTTAAAGGGATAAGAACAGGTTGTGATGACAATTTTGATCAGGAACCCTGAGAGGGGGTCCAAGGTGCTGATGAGAGGAGGTTACTTGTGAGGATATCTCACTGAAGCCTGAAAAGATAAAATGCTACATAAAAGTTACACAGGAAATCAAAATTAAGCTAGAGAATTCTGCACAGTAGCCAGAGAATTTTCTTTAAAAAACAAAAAAAAAAAGGGAAAACTGACCAACCAGTTTTCACAAACAAGACAAACATGCACAACACCTGAGTTACAACAGCTCTTTTGGTTGTCAAGCTTAGCTCTAAGGTTGTCAAAAACATCAGTGACTCATACTTGTACCAAGGGGGTTTGTCTTCAGCAAGACTACTCTTGCATGAACAATCAGACTACTTTTATGGATTACATGTTGCCATCAATAATTGTTGTAATACTACTGCATAGAAATGAAAAAAAAAATTTTTTGCTTCTCTAAGTAATACTTGCTCATCGCTTTCAAACTGGCCAATCAGCATGCACAAAAAGTACTATTTTCATGTGCATTATATACTAATATAAATTAATGAGGAGGATAATCTTCATGTCTGAATTAAAAAAAAATAACACAGGTCATTTACATTAAGTTCAAGAAAGCTACTTAATGGCTGGAGAAATCTCCAGAGTCTGCTTCCTAATGAACTTCTAAGTGTGAAAGTTAATAGAGAGACTTGATAATCTTACATATGTTTTGTTCATTTGAAGTGGGTTCTATTTAAATTTAAATGATCAAAGTTATTATTGAAATGCATTTTGGTTGTAATCTGTCACTGTTTCTTCCAGCATAGATAAAGTATGCAATTTCCTTCACCATTGTCTGAAAGAAAATGAATTATTCAGTGTAATCCTAAGTAGCACTCAGCACTCTTCACTGCAACTGTTTTAATCACCCATCTAGACAAAAAAAATTTGAGGAACTAGACTATCAGCCTAAGTTGCCTATTCGGCAAATTGCAATTAAGGTGTTGTAGCAAGCCTTAATGTTTTTATCAGTTGGATTTGATGGTCTAATGTAAAACTGAGATCAACATTTTCATAAAATTTGGGGAACTAGACTATCAGCCTAAGTTGCCTATTCGACAAATTGCAATTGAGGTGTTGTAGCAAGCCTTAATGTTTTATCAGTTGGATTTGATGGTCTAATGTAAAACTGAGGTCAACATTTTCTTAAAATTTTTTTGGTGTTCTATTGTTTTCCTTTACAAAGATTTTCCTATTTTCCCTGGTTTCCATTATCAAAGAAGGGAGTGTTACCTTTTTTTTTTTTACTCCTGGTGACCTTTTAATGATTTTTGGTCTTGCAGCTCAGTGAAAGGAGAAAAGATACACTTTAAATTGTCAGGAGGGAATGGAAATTTTATTTTTTGCCTTATTCATTTTAAAACTAGGTACATTGAAAACTAAGTTATCAGTTATTGTTAGAATATATGTCTTGCTTTAATAAATGAATTGTTTTTCCTATGTCCGCATGTGAATGAAATTAAATAATTCAATATAGCTTCCGCCCATGTCTTGCATTTAAATATGAACATTATATAGTCTTTATTTTGACAAGTAAAATGTATTGTGCTTGAGGGATAATCTTTTGTACTGTAAATTACAGTTATGAAAGATGTCTGAGTGCATGATTTTGTTTTGAAAAATTTCAGAATAAAAAATTAATTGAACATTGCCGAGTAATGCAGTAGCTGTTTCTCTTTGCTTACAGTCAAAAGTTGAGTTTAAGTATAGCCTGAAAAAAGATGAAAAAGAAGAAGAAAATAAATAAAGATTATTCAAATAACATTTTAAGAGATATTTTTGGGATGAGTTTTTGTGATTAAATTAAAAATATGATTATTGAGGAATATTTGGATTGGTAGTTCAAGAAGTAAGCCGTAACAGGTGTAAATAGTTAGCTGAAAAAATCATTTTTGACATTCTGTTATTCCTTGAATAAGTAATAAGAAAAAGATCACTTATTACAAGACACTTTTTTGACAATTTTTGTAGTTTTTTGTCCAAATAAGTGGTTTGGTGATATTTCTCAGAGGTGTTATTGATAACTTTTGTTTGTGGCCTGTTTGATATACAGATTTTAATAGTTTGGGGATAATAAGCCGTTTCCAATCTTTTTCTTCTTCTTTTTTTTTCCAGCAGGTGTTTTTTCTCAGGAGCCGCCATGATTCAAGTTTCTTTCTTCTTTTTATTCTTTTGAATTATGTAGTGGCTGGGTATTCTTCATAATTAGCATTTATGTGTCCCACGATCTTTCCTGCTTATGAATATACTAATAGATGTAGTTTTTAAAACCATTTTACTCCAATTAACAATCTTTCTTATTCCTTCTCGATATTTCCAGTGACTAAGGGGCGAATCACTTTACCAGAAAATATGACTTAAATGTATTTAAGTTCCGATAAAAGAAAATCAATTTTAACCTCGTGCGAGTAGAACGCTTTATCACAAAAGCTGTTATTTTTCATTAGGGAACAAACGGCTCAGAGTGTGATTAATCTATGAGCTACTTGAAACTGGAGGAAGTACATCCGTCCTATTTTGTTCTTCATATCAGCAAGAGAACTTATTTCCCAGCGTTTTAACTTATTGCGCGTACTTATTACAGTTGAAATACAGCAACATTCTGACTTGAATTGTTAATCAAATTTCTAATGAAATTTAACGAAAGTATAAACTTAAGTCATTTTAAACGCTCTTGGCCGGATCAGCGAAACTCGAACAATTTCCTCTACTTGCTAACCTTTAAATAGGGTGCTATATTTGTATGCCACTATCCGCTCTTTTGTGTTCTCCGCGACACATTATAAAATTAGACTTTCCCTAGAAGAAACGGCGATAGGGAAACTTTGAGCCGTACATTTTCGTGGTTAAATGAGACTGGCGTCGAATGTTTTAGTGCCACCTTTTATATTGATGATAATAATCATCTTTCTCAAATGTAAACAAACTCTTGGTGATATTTTATAGCATGTATGTTTTTGGTTCATTGCCAGCGCTGCCAAGAGTCGATCGCATATAAATGTTTTCTCATCAACAACGTGCTGTTTTTTTTTGTTTGTAAATAACAATCGTCCGGAGAATGGCACGATTGCCAAGAAAAGAAGCGACATGAAGAAATCCTAAGCAATTTTGTCGCTTTTACCCTGTCTGTGTGCTGAGTTTAGAAGTTCTGCAAACTGCATTGTTGGCGTTTGACGGCTTGACCAATCAGAGGGCACTATTAGCCTTGCAGTAATTCGGCTAAAGCCGTCAGTGTTTTGAATTGAGCTAAAAACATGGCGGGCGGTGAAGCCGTTCTGGAGAGGCTCACACATCCCGAGGTCGCAGATTTTTTAATTCGAGGAGCAAGATTCATAAAATGGGACGAGGTGCGCTGAAAGGTTTTGATGTCTACTTTGTTCAAGAGATTGTGTTTTATTAGTCACGCTATAGTTTATTTTGGAATGTTGTTCCTTCGATCTCCAATTTCAATGGGAAATATTAAAAAGGACTATAAGTAATCTAACATTAAGCCGATACCTTTCCAGCTGCCTCGGCATATTAGGGACTTGCCTGGTTTCGTGTTTTATGGTCGAAAAATCACCATTCTATTACACAGGAAGTTAGGCTTCTCGAATTGTGTTGCGAAGCCGACGCTGTCGAAAGAATTGACTCGGGGCTTCACTTCCTCCGACGGATGCCGTTTTAAAAAATATTTTTGGAACTTTTTTCTTTCCACACAGGACTCTACGGTAGGACTGCAATGTACGGTGAAGGTAGACCCGGCGGCCCATTTAATCTATTGGAGAGCCGAAGATAAGGTGAGCGGTCTAAATAAACCATGTGCAATGGTATCCCGAGTACAAGCTTAGTAAAGGAAAATTTCTAGTCTGCACATGCTGGTTGCAATCAGCTTTTTCGTCTGGCTATTCAGATTTTTTTTTTGGAAATCGAGCAGGGTCGCCCGAATGGCGGTTCTCGAGGTGATATTTTTATGACAAGTACTGAATTTATTGCCATGATGATATCTTTATAGCTATGCAGAGTTTACTTTGCTCTTAGTTCACTTGAGTCTTTCATTTTTTACAGGAGACCGATCTGTTGGAGCTGACTTCTATTCGGGATATCAGGACAGGAAAATCGGCGAAAATTCCAAAGGTTTGTTTGTGGGGTTTAGTTAAACTACTCCCTGCTAAATTCAAATACGCAGACAATTTTCGCGTTTACAGCTATTAATAATTTGTATAGAAGTGAATCGATGATATATTTAAATTTTACGCGCTCTACTTCACAAACTTCTTAATATCGTGTAGAAATGTACCATGAAAGATCTCGACCTGAATAAATTCTGTTCATGATATCTGCTTCTGAGCACTTTTGTAAATAAACAATAATTCCTCTCTCGTTCGTCTACGTCAATATCTTTCCGCGAGTCCTTGCACTTGTAAGAAAATTCTTTAAATGCTAATTTCAACTTTTTATTCGCCCATTAGAATTTCAAATTTTTAGCCTTTGCAGTTTGTACATATATTTCCCTACCGCAGAAGGGTTTCACTTCAATCTTTGTAGTTTTTGTCGCATATACAAAACCTTAATCCATTGATTAAAATCTTTTTGTTCGCCTAAGTCGAACATAAACGCGGTTTCAAATGGAAACTGTGTTTTCCGATGTGATGTTTTCGTCGTGAGTAATTTTTGTTTTGACTCAAGATATAGTTTGTTTCTCGAATCCAGGTTTTTGTGTTAAACAAAATACAGGCAGGCAGTCTTTTAATTATTTACGGCTGGCCTTTGTTTTTGTCGCCTAGCAATAGATCTTGACGGAACTATCAAAAAATAATTCTTGCAGCCTTTTCAAATGGTGGAAACTGTTAAAATTACAAGTTCAAAGCTGTTACGCCCGAATAGTTTTATTAAATGTAACAACCCGCTCATTATTTTTGGAATATTCCAAAACTCCACATGATTTGCAAGTTTTAGCTTAATTGAAATATGTTTGAAGACTTGATTTTGGATTAATGAAACGTGTTCCTCAGCTAAGGCAATGAAACGATCGCAGAGCAACTTATACCTAAAAATAGTTTTATTTTTCCGGTTGTTACAGTAAAAATTTTTGATTTTTAAGTGACCAGCTAGCTTGACCTTACAGATAAGTGCTTTATTATTTGTTGTCTAGCAAAATATTTAAATCTTGTTTGCCCAATATATATGCAAATTGCTAGTTCCATTTTAAGGGATATTAAAGGACGTCAATGCCTTTAATTTAGTTACATTTCAGAAAATATATTTGTATAAATATCTGCACAAGTTCTACTGTGAGAGGCAAGGAACATTAAATTGAGCTAAACGTGTGTTTCTTTACATTTTTGGAAAACCATGGATAACAAATATTATTATAACACTCACAGCATGAAATGTTTATCTTTTGAACATCAAGAAATGCTATGCAGTTTAAAAGTTCTGTTCTTAATGAGAAGTTGTAATGAGCCATTTTTACATGACATTAGCCCCAGGGAAGACACCTTTATTTTCAAAGGACGCAACATGCTCTTATTCCTGAAAGGCATCCTATTAACAAAATTCTAGAAAATATCAAACTAGTTCTTGATTGCATGTAGGGGTTGCTACCACAAATGGTTTTAATTACGAGTTCTATCTTTCTTCTGATCAATGAAGCATTTTATTTTAAATGAAGATTTAAGGTGTGACTTTTGTGAAATATGAATATTTCATTTTCTTGGTTTCAAGGCTTGCCACAAGAAAGCAAAAATCAAACCGCACTAAGTTAACCTGCTAAAAGTTAAATGCTACACATGAGGTGAATCACACAAGTTTCCCCCAAACTGACATCCAATTCTTAGTGAAATGTGAATTAATTTTCAAGTATATTTCAAATCATATTTCTGTACTGGTGTTGGCATAGATCGAATATTTAATAAGCAGTGCAATGAATGCTGGCTTATCTTTTAACCCTTTGCAACAACAAAGTTTACTTGAAAGTGTACTTTATTAGGACCTGTGTAGTCCCAGAGTATTTTCTGACAGTGTATTTTCCAATTTACAAATTACTTTTATTCAAAGCACTTTGGCAAGCCTTCTACCATTCCTATTATTTTCTTTTGTACTGTATGCTGTAATACTTAAATTATTCTCAGTGAATTAAAATTATAAAATTTTTTCATGAGAACTTTTACAAGCATGTGTGAGGAGGCAGATCTGTGATGTTAGACTTTCTTTAAGAACATAGCCTGTAACACCAAATATGGCTTTTTGGATTATATGTTTGGCCAATTTCAGGGCAGTTCAATGACATAGGTTTAAGTAGTTTTAAACCTTATACCAAGGAGATGTGGTATTGAATTAGCAATCCAGGATTGCTTTTGGTTTGCATAACCTTGCTTTGTGATATGTACAGAAAACTCTTACTCCACCAATTAGTTTCAAAACTAACACCAATCCTGATGTGGACACATGCATTTTCCCGTGCTACAAGTAGGTTGCCTGTCTTAACTCTTTCACTCCCAGATCTCACAAGTAATTCTCGTTACTATCTGCCATACAGTTCTTATGATGTTAGTCCAGAGAATTTGGTATTGGATCAACTAACAATTGCCCAACTAATATTTCTCTTTATTCTAATCACATCTCTTTTTTACTTCATATTGATTTTGTAAGGAGAAATTCTGTCTTGGTCACTCTTGGGAGTTGAAGGGTTAACTTGGAGTTTTATTGGCTCTTTATGATGTCAATGTTTGCTGTGATTGGCTGTTGTGATTGCTTAAATTCGATTTACAAAACTCTAGCAAAAACTGCTTTAGAAGTAGTCAGTGACTATATTGCAGGTAATTTAGTGTTAACAACTGGGTTGAAAACGTAAATTAGCCACCGTAAAGAGTAAAAAAGCTGACGTTTCGAGCGTTAGCCCTTCGTCAGAGCGATAGCAATCGCTCTGACGAAGGGCTAACGCTCGAAACGTCAGCTTTTTTACTCTTTACGGTGGCTAATTTACGTTTTCAACCCAGTTGTTAACACTAAATTACCTGCTATACTCTCCCACCGACGCAGCACCACAGTTTCTTTAGAAACTTACCCCTTCATTCAGTGACTATATTGCTTTTGCTCTACTGAACTTAACTTGCTTTCCCCTCTAAGTTAATAAGGTGAAAAATGGAAACTAGTGATGATTAACACCACACACCATCCCACCACTTTCGGTGGGGGCTGAAAACCAAGACTTCTGCTGGAGTCTCACTTCATTTTTCTTTCGGAAGCAGGATGGTATAGTGGCAGGGGTGCTCACCTCCCATCACTGTGGCCCAGGTTGTATTCCTGGTCCTGCGTCATTGCATGAAGTTTGATTTTGTTGTTGGTTCTCAGTCGTCCTTGCTTCAAGGGCTTTTCTCTGGTCCTCCAGTTTTCCTCTCTCTACAAAAGCAACATTCAAAATTCCAATTTGAGCTGGAAACAGGAGACAAGATCAGCCAGCTAGTGGAATGTCCACTGCTAGGTTGTCATTGTTATGTTTATTATTGTTATTATTATTATTAATTATTTTGAAATTATTTTGATAATGGCCTGAGTCAGCTGGCAACTCTTGGGGGTTAAAGGTTTAGAATTATTATAGAAAGCTAAGGGTAACTTTTTTTTTCGAATTTTTCAAACAAGTTAAATTTCTGTCCACACTGGTAATATGCAATTAAAAAGATGCAATCCGCATCAGACAAATCATTATACTCCATAACAAGTGCATGTCTAAGCCAAACCATGGTATCCTAGAAAAGATTACTAGTTTAACTGTTTGTTAATGAAACATTTACCTCCTAGCATGTATAATGAATTAAATTTGAAAGTAAAATGCTACTCATTTTTTAGAGATTTGAACTTGTTAGCAATCTCAGCCTATATTTTTTTACCTCAAGTGCAACATAGACTTTTTTTCTACCAATTAATCAAAGGGTGCTGTATGAGATACATCTTTGTTATTGTAAGTGTTAACTGTGAACCATGTAAATACAATTGTGGTTTTTGTAGTTGTGGAATGTATAAATTTCTATACACTCCACAACTAAAGTTAAGCAAACCCTGTCAAGAATTCAGTTGCTCTTCTTACAGCATCTTACAAAAACTGATATTTCTTCTAAGTAAGAAACCTGACTGCAGGGCTCTTTCTTTATCACTGCACACAAGAAAAATATTTTGTTTGTCTTAAACATGATCAGTCATCCATAGAAAACATTATCTTCAATGAAACACTGGAATTTATTTCAGAGTAAAACAATTCTTAATCCCAAGTAGAGAGTTCTATATACATGTATCAAAAGAACAAAGAAAACAGTCTGGCTGTTACTTATCAATCATAATCCTACAAACATGTTTTTGTCGAAACTGTTTTATAAATTTTGTGCCCCAAGGGACGCCTAATTCTGAAATGTTGTTGTTCAGGATTTTGAAGTGTTAATTAACATGTAAAAGGAATCTGTCAAAATACCTTTCAGAATAATTTCATGTTTTTCTCAAAAACCTTAATCTTGATGATAGAAGCTAAACCTAATCGGATTATTGACCTTATGGTATTTCTTATGCACATGCAAACATTATTTCTAAAATTAACTAGTAAGTATCTCCATTAGTTCCCTTATGATTAAAAGATGGCTTTTGCAATTATCAACTTACAATTTTTCCGTTTTGAACTGAATGCAAATTAATTTTGCTAATATCCATTTTAACTGTTTTAGCCACTAATAGCTGAACTTTGGAGTCAGGTTTTGCAAAAATCTTTTGTCTTTGTTTTCTTAGTTTATCCACAGGACACTGTTCTGTTTTTAGTATAAGACAATCAGAAGAAAAAAAACAAATTCCGCTATCATCAGTTTATTGTGTCAGTAATTGCCTTAAAGCAAAGAATTTACAAACAGGAAATTTCTTTGTGAGACATAATGGTTTTGACAGAGATTAAGCCAACCAGAACCACCCACAGTTTGAGAACATTGCGGAACAAGCAAGGCTCTTCTGTCAACTTCAACATTTGGAAACTTAATCCTTGTGAAAGGGTTAAAACTGCTGGAAGTGCTTAACATGTACATTCTCCCTCAAATATCTAAACGTTATCCAACAAACAGGTAATGAGAATACCCAGACTTATCAGACAGATATTGATAACTTGATCTAACACCAAATTCCTATGAATAATTTACAAGGAAATGTGTAGCAGCTAGAGGGGAGAATTGACAATCAGATCTTGGGAGGTTAAGGGTTAACCTTGTCACTCCCAAGATCTCATGACCAATCCTCCTCTCTGACATCAATACCCTTCGTATAATTTATTGTAGCTTTGAGAATTTGGTGTTAAGTCTAACAATATCCCCCTGTTGATAATTTACCATCTTCTCATTACCTGTCTGGTTGATAATGGATTAATAATGTATTGAAAAAATGCTCATTCAATTTAGTCACTCCTGGGAGTGGAAAGGTTAAAATCATTTTATCAGCACCAGAAAATAAAATTTTTAACAGGTGGACTGAAAAATAATATTTTGTGTGGCAAAGTAGATCATTTTCTTTCAAATGTCCATCTTACTTTATGAGAACACTAACATGATCACAGAATGCTGGTTGCCAAGTTTTCTAAGTTTGTAGCAAATTTAGTAGCCAAAATTTTTTTCTGATATTTGCAATGAATGGGGACCAAAACACTTTCAATGTGAAAACACTTTCAATGTGGGAAGCTGTCAGGTCTTACACAGCTGTGCTATAGCAGCATTCAGTAGCCCTTGGCACCTTTCTGTAATTTGCAACTAGGGGATCTTAGTTTTTTCATAAAAGGCATTCACTAGGCATGTACCCTGGATTTCGTAATTTCTCTGAGAGCACAGTCTTGTGCTACCTACATTTTTACCTTCAGTTGGTTGTAATTTAAGAAAATAATTAAATACAAACTTACAATTAAAATAATATATTTTTTTTTTCACTTATTTTCTGCAAATGTTAAGTCATGCAGGATTTACCCTATAGGTACAGTACATGTATGTGATAGGCCCAGCAAACCTTTATCAAGAGAGTGTTTAAAGAACTGTGTTTACTTAACGTAAACATTCTTCTACTAAATCATAAAGTGAAAGCATTTTTGTTTGATAATATTTGAAAATATAAAATTTAGCTAATCACTCCTGAATTTAATATTTAAAGGTTGCAAGAGTAAAGGAAATGATCACCAAATAAAGAACTTCTGCATGACTGCCAAACAAATTCTCCCAGTCATCCCCCTTAAGAAGTGAATAGAAAACAGTATGAAGAAAATGCATATCGATGTTAGGGTGTAATGAAATTTTTGCTACTTGCCAAGGGTCCCTGGTTAGTTACTCATTGGCTATGAAGTTTTGTTGCTTGATTGATAGTACCGTAATTCATGTCTAGATTTGAACATGGAATCCCAAGATCTATGGGTAATCTTTTTAATTTTTTATTTACAGGATAAAAGCTTGCGAGACTCTTTAAAAATTGGCGGATCGGAAGAAGACTCCATACAAGACAAGACTATTACAATTGTGTATGGGTCAACTTTAGTAGATATCTACTATGTGAACTTTGTTGCTCCTGGATCTGTGAACACTGCACGTGAATGGGCAGATGCTTTGTTTTGCTTAACGCACAATCTCTTGGCCATAAATGCTTCACCTATCTCCTTCCTTGAAAAACTGTAAGTCCACAAATTGATTCAAGAGTAATTTTGAGTGACAGCTGTCAGTAAATATAATTTGTGGAACACATGGTTTAAACCTTGGCTAGGTTATCGTTTTGTTTTCATGGACAAGGAAATTAAATCTCACAGTTATTCTCTGCACCCACTCCATCCTAAGAGTGCAAGTTGGTACCAGACAATCTTGGCAAAAATTCAATGTTGACATTTAAAGCTCAGCAAAAGCTTTTATTAAAAAGCACTAGATGAAATTCCCTGTAAGATGGCCGAATGTAATGGCACAAGTAGGGCCTGAAAAAGCAAAATGGCCCCACCAGATGTGAGCTAAAATAGAGTAAAAAACTTGTTTTTAAAGTAAAACAAGGGAAGCCCAATGGTCATATAATAAAATGCTTATTGACTGGTTCTCGCCAGGCCTAACAGGAAAATATTTGGCTCTCTGCCATGATCTCAAGCCAAAAATATTTCCACACAGCCCTCCCACTCAGTGGATAAGTACATAGTATAGAAATCCTTCATGAAGGAGTAGCAATGCTCATGGTCTTCTCCTGCAACAGTTTATATCTGAAAGCTATGTTTTACATTATCCTCATTTTACTAATTTGATGGTCACTGTTATAACAACTAGAAAAAATGTTTAGAAATAATTGCATAAAATGTTAAATTTTTTTGGAAAAAAAAAGGGTCTGCCAAGATGACTGTCCACAATTCTGGAATGAAGTTTTTTTCTTAGAAATTTGTGAGAGTTTGAGACAAGTGTTCTCAGGCTTGCAGGTGTTTATGAGTGATGAAAATGTTAGTAATAATAGCATTAATGACCAACAATATGGTATTTGTAATAGTTATTTACTAAATGTTAAGAGTTTTGATTTTTTTCCTATGGGATTTTGATCATTTTTTGTTTTGGTTTTATATTTTGTTTAGGGCAAGGCTCATCCAAAACAAATTTCACTTAAAAATTGACACATACTTCTTTTATCTCTTTTATTTCATTTTGATTTACAGCCACTCTAAAATATGTGTCCAAACAAGTGGAGATGGAAAAATCCCTGTAAAAAAGTAAGTCCCTCTACAGTAGGCAGCATGCTCTAGTGAATACAGGACAGATTTGTACCTTTTCTTTCTTCAAGTAAAAATAGTGATTGTGTTCACGAGCATTTTGATTTAGTTGAAGTTATTACGTAAATAAATGTCTACGTTCTCACCATTGGATCATGTGAAGGTGAAATGTCTTATCAGTATCAATCGGTAAAACTTTTGTATTGTTTCTCACTTATGATTATTGTGCGAAATGACAACTAAGAATAGTGCGAACAGTCCAAAACTTGTGCTAAAAGACTTGTGCGAAAAGTCTTTTGCGCAAAATGTCCGGTTACTGCTCTAGTAAGTTAAAGGAAAAGTGATTGCATATTAGGTTTCTTCACCCTTTTAACTCCTAGAAGGGATTAACAAGTAACTTCTCCCTAAAATATCCATGCACTATCCTGCAAACAGGTAATGAGGATACTCAAATGTATCTGGTGGAAGTTGTTATCTTGATTTAACAACAGATTCTCATAACTAATTGACGAGGAAATGTGTAGCAACTAGAGGAGAGAATTAACAATCAGATCTTGGAAGTTAAATGGTTAACATCAATAGGAGACAAAGGGCCAGTTGTCAGAGAAACTTCGTGTGAATACAGTATCAAGTGGACAAGTGAAGAGGATACAGAAAAAAATAAATTAGGAATGTTTGAATTGACTGTGTTTCATTTTAAATTGCAGTATTTTAAAATATGTGAGTTCCAGCAAAGAAGATAAAAAAAGAGTGCTGGATACTCTTCAGTCTGTGGGTTTGCCTCATGGAAAAGTGAGTTGTGTCATTGATTTGCAATTTTATGTCTCTTCACATTATTTAGCAGCTGTAAAACTCACTATTAGAGCAATTTTCAGTTTTTCATAGAAAATGGTAGCTGTTTTTTTTTTCAATTTCTATCATACTAAAAATCATACTTCCTAATAAATGATTATACTAAATTTTTGTTTTAATCTAATTTCTTTTGTTCTTTTTTTTCTGCATTGCTTTGCTTCTCTCTCAGAATGATACTATTGCCCCTGATAAATTTAGTTTTGAAGAATTCTGGGCATTCTACAGCAGACTATGTGACAGAAAAGATATTGACAAAATCTTTGCTGAAATGTAAGTCTGAAAACCTTGGTATAATAATTGAATTATTAATAGCATTTACATCTATTCAGCTTTCTTACAACATCTCATTATGTACTATGAGAAGCAAAAGCCTTGGCACAATATATTATAATTACTAATTTTTGTTTTTGCTCTAACTTTCATCAATCTCCTCACATCTCCCATTTCAATGTTGCCTAGTGTTAGCCAAAGGATCACTAATTTCTTGCAAAAGTTTTTTGCAGCAATTTTTGGTGAGAAAAGGGGTAACTTTTAAGTAGCTTATTAGGGATGAATTGCAAGGTTTCTATGTGTTACGTTGAGTAGAGGATTGTTGACCACCCACCAGCTAAGAGAGACGTGCCAGCTACTTTTGCCACTCATTGTATATTATGAGTTTAATAGAGATAAAATAAAATTTATGATAAAAATGAATGTGTATACATGTAATTTGCTTAGAACCACTCACTAGTTTGGGAGTATCGGCTAATTGGTTAATTTCACAAGGTTGGGCTACCCTTTAGTATCTCAATCACAGTCAGTGTCATTTAGTTTCATATAGTACATTTTAATTGTAGAGGGGAAAAAAATTGGTTTTCCTGAGCATACATCTCCTTAATCCTTTGACAAGCATCTGAGTTCTTCTTACAACATCACCACTGAATCACACATTAAGGTCACGAAATAAAGGAAAGGATCACTAACCAAGAAGCTCTTGATTGTTAAACAAATTCTCCTTGTCAGCACCTAAGGAAATGTGTGAAGAACAGTATGGAGAATATGCATACTGATGTTAGGGTGTAAAGGGTTAAGGTGTGAGTGAGACTTGTTTCTGTACTTACATGTGCATTTATTGACTCAGTGGTGCAAAGAAGAAGCCATACCTGACAGTGGACCAACTTGTGGAGTTTCTCAACAATGAACAAAGAGACCCTCGCCTAAATGAAATCCTTTTTCCTTACTGCACAAGTGAAAAAGCTCAAGCTATAATTGACAAATATGAACCAAACAGAGACTTTGCAAAGAAGGGTAAGTTGTAATAGGCAGTAATCTGACAGTTGCACACTGTATTTTGAAATGATTATTGGTGCCTGAGAAAATTGAATTTTACCAATAAAAGTAGTGCAAGCACTTTCCATTTAGTCAAATTCATAGTCGAGTAACCTTCAACTTTGTATTAAGTTTTTGAATCATGAGTACCTAGTAAATGATTTATGCAAATGTTTGCCTCACAGAAACTTTAGAGTATTGGCACTGTTGAAAAGACTAAGTGTAGTGCCTTAGAAAAACAAACACAATGATTATTAATTGCAAAGAAGTAATTACAGTAGTTAATTGTTCATGGCTTTTGTTTTTGCATAGCTTAGTTTTCACACCCTCGTAGCTTTTAACCTTTGTTAATTAGTCATACATTGTGAGTGAGATTTTTTCCCCCATCCAATGAAGTATAGGTGATAGAGTGTCAGAGTGTCTTCCAAAAGATCTCAGTAGTAGTTTAATTTTTTTGGTGTTTTGTCTGACCAGCCACTTTGGAATTAAAATGTTACAGCCTTTTACATGACTGCTTAAGACATGGCACTAATTCAAATGACCTCCCACGACTCTTGCTACAAAATTATTTTAGTCACCAAGGGAATGAAAATGGTTGCAGTTTGATGCACTGTACCTTTATGTTGAAAGCTATCTAATGACATTTTCTTGTGCTCATCCATGTTGATTCTCTGTTTTGTAGTTTAATGGAAGGAATGTTTTTCTTTTTTTAGGCCACTTTTCTGTTCAAGGACTCACAAGATATCTTATGAGCGATGACAATTTCATCATCAACCATGATCGCTTGTCATGTTATCAAGACATGACACAGCCCCTATCACATTATTTCATTAATTCATCACACAACACATATCTAACAGGTGATTAAAAACTGCTCTGAAATATATTCTCACTTGCTAATTAACCTAAGCAACTTATTTGACATTTTACACCTTTTGGATATTACTTTGTTCAATTTGGCAAATGCACCTTTCAATGACAAAGGGAGATGTGCACAGGTGGCCAATGGTTAGTGTGGTGGACTGTGGGAGGAGAGGTCTGGGTCTGGGTTCAAGACCTATGCAGGCTATTGTGTTGTGTTCTTGGGCAAAAACACTTTACTATGGACCATAGAGCTTTGGAAAATTGTTAGGGAAGCTGGACAAAATGCTGGGGGGGCAACCTTGTGATGAACTTGCATCCCATCCAGGGAACCTGGGACTAGCTCTGCCTGGTTGGGCCACTAGGCTCAAGTTCAGACTGACCAATACCTAAATTAGTTTGCCTGAATTATTATCACTACCTTGCGCAATTAGGACCAGCTTCTAGGTCATAGAGAATTTGAAATTTCTTTCTTAGGTCACCAGTTGACTGGGAAATCATCAGTAGAAATGTACAGACAAGCGCTATTGGCTGGATGCCGTTGTATAGAATTGGACTGTTGGGATGGAAAAGACCAAGATCAAGAACCTGTCATCACCCATGGAATGACAATGTGTACACAGATCTCATTTAAGGTTTGCTAAACAGACTTAAAGACTTTTGCACTACCCACCTCTCCATTTCTCATTACTTTTCCACCTGATAGCATATTGATAAAGTAAAGAGAACATTCTTTTTTATCACTCCTGCGAATAAAGAGGTTAAAGGGATGAGGTTATACAATCATAATAAGTCCAGTCCCCTAACCCCTCAGGCTAAGCTGCTTCCATAAACAAAGAATGGAGGAAACCAATAAAAAGCATAGATGGAAATACTTGGGGAGGGGATGGCACAGTAATGAGAGTGCTAGCCTTGCACCCCTCTGGCCTGAGCTGAGTTTGTCATTGGTTCTTGCCTGTACTTCAAAGGTTTATCTCTGGGTCCACTGGTTTTCCTTCCACCAGAAAAACCAACATTCCAGTTTAACCTGGAAACAGTGGACATGGAGAGTTACCTCGTGGAAAGTCCAATGCAAAATACCGAACATAATTATCATCTCTACTACTATTATAATTATTGTTATTATTTGTTGGGATGGCTGTGTTGGCTTGAATGAAGAGGTCCTTCTTTCAATGTTTTGCTTGCTTGTTTCTGTTGTGTAATTTTGGTTTTATCGCACCTGTATGAGAAATACCTGAAATCATGCTGTTTTTCATCTTTTTTATAACAGGATGTGATAGAAGCAATTGCAGAATGTGCCTTCAAGACATCAGAATACCCTGTTATTCTTTCCTTTGAGAATCATTGCAGGTAAAATGAATGCTAAGCCAGCTTCTTATCTAGATCATTGCTTGTTTTTTAAAGTGATCAAAGCTGATGTTATGAAGAAGAAAATTTTTAACTTGAGCTCAACCACGTATTTCCCTTGAAGTCGACTTGAAAGTCATTTAATACTGCTTATCATCTATATCTGTGAAAGATATGCATACTTTCTTGTGTCTTTCAGTCCTAAGCAGCAAGCTAAGATGGCAGCATACTGTGTCAGCATCTTTGCTGATATGCTTCTCAACAAACCCTTAGATGATTTCCCAGTAAGTGTGTCCTAGTTTATTTTTGGTTTGCAGTGTAATTTTCTTGGGACAGTGACTTCCTCTGTAAATTGATAAGAAAGTTTTCGGAGAAAGCCAATTATGAAGTAGGCTACATCTTCAAAAATCAGCAGGAGAATTCTGTACAGCTTTAGAAAAATTCTCCAATATCTGCTCTGTAATGAGCACCCCTTTTGGTTTATGGTAGAATCTTTTCAAATTAAGCTTTTCAGATTTGTCTTTTGTATTTCTTGTTGATGATTTCTGTCGGTAACTAAACCACAGTAGTGCTGCATATAGACGGTTTTATTGGGAAATATTACTCATCTCACATCTCTGTTTCTTTTTGTGTGATTCGCAGTTAGAAGAAGGAAAAGGCCTTCCACCTCCAAAAGCACTGTTAAGAAAGATTGTGATTAAAAACAAGAAAAGGCCATCAAAACGTGAGGAAGGTAACCTCAGATATTTTGCATTTTTACACTGAAGTGTGCACTTTTGGTTAAATTTGCATCAATTATTTTAAGTTATAGATCTGTGAGGTATTTTATATTTATCCAGTGGAACATCATAAGCAATTTAACTGTTCTGGGATGCTTAAAATTAATATATTTCCCCAGGGAATGAGAGGTGATATTGGTGTTAACCATAAAAATTACAATTTCCTAGATGGTGATTGGTTAAAAAAAAAACTTGTATTTTTCACTAATTCACTTGCCGAGTTGTTACCGGACAGTTTGTTATTGGACAATTCAATAAGCCAATCACATTCAAAGTTGTAGTTTAAGTTAACCAATTACATTCATAATTGTAGTTTGAATCAACCAATCGGACTTCGTCAGTCTTTCGGTGCAAATTTTTCCTTTCTTTCATAACTTGGCTTTTCTCTTTTTCTCGGAAATGGTAATGATTAAGATTAATTGGTAATAAGACTTTGTATCGTCCAACTCGGTGTGTAATCATACTCGTGATAACACAATCGCACGATCGGACAGCGGGAGTCCAATTTCCTTATCATTCGTATTGATTAGAGACCGAATTGGATGCCTTTCAGACCTATTAGCATAGCTTACAAAATGCTTCCTTCAGTTCGTACTGTAACACAGTTTCTGGTATCTTTATTGCAGTAGGTGTGGATGTCGAAAAGACCCCCATAGACACCACTGCAGTGATCAGCAGTGACACAAAGGTGGAAAAAGTTGATGGAGAGATAACTGAGAATGGAGGCAGTGTTATTAACGAGGAGGATGTCAGCAAAGTGAGTAGATCTACTAAAAGCAAAATTGTGTTCAAGAAGGGTACCGATTTAACACCAGACGTAGATTCAAAATGTGTTTTGGACTAAATTGCACAATAAATACAATCAACAATGAATATTCCTAAGAATGGAAAAAGCATTCAGAGATAAAAATACAAATTGAGTTAAAAAAAAAAACACTTGAAAATTATGCAAAATACTTTACCCTCACAGTGCTTCTCTCCACCTGGGGGTATAAATGGCAAATTTTCAGAGATGCGTGATTAATTACAGGGGGGGTAACCTTGGGATGGACTGACGTCTCATCCAGGGGAGGGGTGGGACAGTAACGCTCCAAGTCGTTTCATGCTAAATGGAAACCAGAATAAGCTGTGGCTGGATGGGTCACTTGGCTTAACCCTTTACACCCTAACATCAGTATGCATATTCTCCACACTGTTTTTATACATTTCCTAAGGTGCTGACAAGGAGAATTTGTTTGCCAATCAAAAGGTTTCTTCCCTGGTGACCATTTTCTCAATTCTCATGACTGTAATGTGTGATTCAGGGGTGATATTGTAAGGAGAAATTAGATTCTAGTCACTGTTAAGGTTTGAAAGGTTAAATACAGACTTAAACTGTTTTTCCTTAATCATCAGTTGCATATGCACATGCATTAAGCCGTCTTTTTTTTTTCTGAAGGGGTACTAGTTTAATGGGGTTGCTATACGTGGGCTTTTCCTAAATATATTGATTTGACGTTTGATTTCCTCTTTGAAATTAACGCAGGCAGATCAAGAGGAGGTTGCCCCAGAGGTTGAACTTTCTGCTCTTGTGAATTACATCCAGCCCGTCCATTTTAAGAGCTTTGAGACTTCTGAAAGTGAGTACACTTTTTACTAGTTGAACAAGGACAGTTTTAAGCTAGTAACGTTCATGGCTTAGTAGCGAGGGGAGGGAAGGGGGGGTTTTTAGATCTGTTTGTATTACAGTAAAATTTACCTGATTCCTCCCATAAGGCTCTGAGACACGCCCCCTCCATCGGCAGTCAATTTTCTATAGCCCCCCCCCCCCATACTCTGTTAGTGATTAACTGATCCCCCCTCTGTTTCTCCTGAAAACTATGTGATCCCCTCAAAATACTTGACCCCTCCCCTCCCCTTCCCCCCAAGCCTAAATATTGACTGGTCTCTAAGGAACAAAGAAACTTGGAAAAAGATCTGACTTTCAAATTTTGTCAAATGACATTTTTTTAATCCATTTTACAGAGCTGAATAGAAGTTATGAGATGTCCTCTTTTGTGGAGAATAATGCAACGGCTTTACTTAAAGAAAGCCCAGTGGAATTTGTCAAGTATCCTTTAATAAACATTACTGAATGATAATTTAATCGGATTTAATGAATAATTTGCAAGTTTATTTGTAAGGTTTCCTTTAAAACAGTGTTCTTCTTAACTTCAACCAGTTACAATAAGCGTCAGTTGAGTAGAATTTATCCCAGTGGCACAAGAGTTGGATCAGCAAATTACATGCCCCAGGTAAATAAAATAAAGCATGTTCTTCTATCTACAGTCGACTCCCGTTATTGCGGACTCTATTGGGGGGAGATGTAATTTCTGTAATAGCGAGAGTCCGTAATGGCGGGTCACGACAAAAAATTGAATTGTTCTGTCTCTAACATATGAAATAATATGTCACTACGTAAACGTAAAGTTGCCAACGTGGCCTCACGAACCGGAAAAAAAGATCCGGCCTCAAGCAGGAAATTCTCGTGTTCGCACACGATTGAAGAATGGTTTCTTTATTTTTCTCTATCGTAATGTCGCTTTATATTATACGAGTGAGGATTTTGGACGAAGTACTAAAGTGTCCGCCATAGCGAAAGAAAAAACAATTGAAATGTTGCGCAGGATGGGCATGAAAGTGTCCGCATTTCCGTAATAGCAAGAGTCCGTAATAACGGAGAAGGGCTAACACTGAAAACGTCAACTCAGCAACTCAATTTTGTTTTTTCCAGTAGCTGCTATTTTATAACGTCATTTTAGGGTAGAACTTGGTTCTCAAATGTTCCTGTTTCTTTGATTTTTTTCATGTGCAGATTTTTTGGAATGCAGGATGTCAGTTAGTTGCTCTTAATTATCAAACTTTAGGTGAGTTGAATTTCCTTTTCTCCCCGAGACCTTGGTCACAAGCAAACAACAAAAACATCATAGAAAATGTTTTTTCCATTTTTTTGTGTAGATCCCGGTTTATATAAATGAGTAACATCATTAACTTAGATGCAAGAAGTTTCATAGTTCCTAAACTCAAGTTTTCTTGTAACCATG